TATAACTAATCACGGTACATAATTAGTCACAGAGCTTTATATTATGGTAATTTTCCCGCGACTACAATTATTAGTCATGGGAAACATGTTGTTAAACACGGTATGTCCCGTGATTAAAGAACCTTTTTCTTGTAGTGAGTGTCTCAATGATTTATTATTTATAAATACATGTTGTAATTTATACTTTGTAACCAAATGTAAAATCATGTTTTTCATATGTATGTGTTATCTATATATATTATTTATATACATCAACCAAATGTAAAATGTTGATAACCTTCCTAGGATTTCTACTTATCTAATGAGATAGTGAGACTATTATGTGATTCAATTTAATGATAGTTTTCAACACAAAGTAAACCTTTGTTCTTGGTGGGAAAGATGAAAAATAATAGGGCAAGTCACGTAAACTTTATATATATATATATATATATGGTGACTACTTCGGTGCACTCACAAAAATGGGTGCGTTCAATGCACTCAACTCAAAAACTAGTCTTAAGGTGTCGGATGTTGAATTTTAATTTGTAGAATCAGTGTAATATATATATATATATATGCACCAAAATATATTATGTAGTATGATTCGTGCCAATCGGGCGGGTTCGAGTTGGGTTAATCGGGTTCGGGTTAGTCGGGTTACGAGTCAAGCGGGTTGCAGGTCAATCGGGTTCGGGTCGAGTGGATTGCGGATCAAGCGGGTTGTGGGTCAATCGGGTTGCAGGTTTTTTACTTTTAGTCCAATCGGGTTGCGGGCGGGTCGCGGATCGGGTTGGTTGGGCGGATTACTCAGGTCGGGTCATGTTTTGACACACACCTATACAAGTAATAGCACCAGTCAACTCGAAAAACTCAGTGAACTCTTCTTCCTACAAATACTAGAAAAACACAGGCGACTTCAAGAAGAAGATAGTGCTACCCGCAATAGCCTTAAAGTGGAGCTTCAAGAAGTGTTTCATTTGCAAGAAATCCCCGGGAGGCAAAAGTCCAGGTAATTATGGCTTAAAGTCGGGGAGAAGAACACCAGGTACTTTCATTTGATGGCAAATTATAGGCTTAAGCTAAATCTCATTGACCATATAATCATTAATGGTTCTGCGGTGTATGGTAGGGATGCCCTTGGGGATGGTATTGTTGATTATTACAAGGATTTATACAAAGAGTCAGCCCTCTACAGGCCTTTCCCGCACGTTTACTCTGCTAGGAGGATTTATGTGTTTGGTGTTCGAATGCTTATTCGCCCCTTTACTGAACAAGAAATTTGGGGTGCCATTTCAGAAAGTGATGGTAGCAAGTCTCCGGGTCCGGACGGGTTTTCATTGGAATTCTATAAGAAATGTTGGCCCCTCATCAGAAGCAGTGTTCTCGATGCTTTTAGTGAGTTCCACGAGACTAGTTTCCTAACAAACAGCATCACTCATTTTTTCATTTGTCTTTTGCCGAAGGACACCGTGGAGCAAATCAAGGACCTGCGCTCGATCAGTTTGATGAGCATCTTTAAAAAAATTGTTAGCAAAGTCCTTTCGAAAAGAATGAGGTTGGTGCTGCCAAAACTTATATCCCTCAATCAGCATACTTCGGTCAAGGGTAGACAGATCTCGGATGACACTTTGATTGCTAACGAGTTCGTGGACAACAGAAAAAAGATTAAAAAGGCGGGCCTTATGTTCAAGCTGGACATTGAAAAGGCTTTTGACAACATCAACTGGGATTGTATTTTTAAAACTTTGGGTTCTCTAGGTTTTCCGGTTAAGTGGCAACATTGGATTCGCGGCACTATGTGCTCCCCGACCATTTCGATTCCCATAAAAGGTGAAGCTAGAGGATTCTTTCGACCAGAGAAGGGGTTGTGTCAAGGTGATCCGCTATCCCCAGGACTATTCTCTAGGGTTATGAATCTGTTGTCTTTTATGATTGACAATCTCAAACAAGCTGGGGGTATTTCCGGGTTTTTTTATGAACGAGGAGCAGACGAGGGGCGAAGTCACTCACCTTCTTTTTGTTGATGACGCGTTGATTTTCTGTGATGCCTCTGCAGAGCAGGTTCTTAATATTCTCGCCACTCTTGTATGTTTGCAAGCTGTCACTGGTCTTAAGATAAACTTCGAAAAATCGGTCATGTTCACTGTTGGTGACGTTCCGGAACCAAACTTTTTCGCAGCCATTTTTGGGTGCAACTAGTCTAGCGATCCGACGAAGTATCTGGGAATGCCTTTGGGAGCTAGGCCGAACGCTGCTTCGATTTGGGATCCTTTAATTCTGAAATGTCAGAGTCTTCTTCAAGGTTTGAAATGCTGCTATCTTTCCTATGGGGCTCGTTTGATTCTGAACAACAGCACTCTTTCTAGCCAACCGGTCTATCAGTTCTCTTTATTCAAGGTGTCGAAGTCGATCATTGACAATCTTGAGAGAATGCATCGGAGGTTCATTTGGAGTGGGGCTAGGAACGTGGAGAAACACCATCTTGTGTGCTGGAAAGTTTGTAAAGCATCTAAAAAGAAGGGTGGGTTGGGTGTGATTGATCTACAGAGTCTCAATATTGCTAATTTGGGGAAATGGCATTGGCGTTACGCCAACGAAAGAAACAGCTGGTGGAGGAATGTCATTAGCATCAAGTATCCTAATCTTACCTTTGAGTGGCGCTGTGGCAGAATTCGGGGAGGTTTTTCGAGCTCGATTTTGGCCAACATCTCTAAGGTCAGTGATTCTTTTTGGAACAAAGCCTTGTGGAACCGAGGGAGAGAGCTTGGGTTTCCTTCTAGAAGGACAACCGGGTCCCGGGAGAACTTCTTGCCGATTCTTTTGCGAGAGTTGTAGTTGTCGCCGTCAATCCTGAAGTGCGGATCATCGAGGTTGCTACACGCACAGGTGAGGGTGTTAGTTGGAATATTCCTTTGTCGGTCAGTTGGAGAGGGGGGTTGGGAGAGAGAGTGAGAGAGATTTGTTTTGTTTAATAAGCTTGGTTCGATTCCATCTTCCTTTTTGACTGATGGCCCTTGTCCAGTTCAGTGGCTTCTGAATCCGGAGGCTTCTTTTTCTGTTAAGTCTGTGTATAGGTGACGAGTTGTTTACACCAAAAATTAAACTTGTACCACATCGGTTAAAAACAAGGAATAAAATGGATTTATAAGGCCAACTTGATTATAACAGTTTAAACCAATTGACTAGGCCACGTGGATTGAGTTTTTGGGCCCATTGCTATGGGCCATCACGCGTGCCATACATTCCCAAATTTGGCTAAGTGTTGGAGCCACCCCATGATGTACCGAGGGGGGTTGGCACCATATTGCCACCCCCTTCACGTGGTAAGGGTGGGTGGATACCATACTGCCACCCCCATTATGTGACGAGGTGGGGGTGGGCACCATATTGCCAACCTCATGATGTGCGGAGGGGGGCGGGATCCATATTGCCACCCCCATGACATGGTAAGGGGGTGGGTACCATACTGCCACCCCCCATGATGTGCCGAGAGGGGTAGGCACCATATTACCAACCCCATGACGTGGTAAGGGGGGTTGCCACCATACCGCCACCCCAAGAGGTGCCAAGGGGGTGATCAACATATCGCCACCCCTGGGAGGTGCCGAGGAGGTGGGAGGTCATGGAGTAAAATATGACTAAGTATGGAGAATGATGATGCCTCATTGTGATCAGGGGGGTGATTGTAACACCCCGACTTCTGGGTTTAGGTTCGACCATATTAAATTAACGGGTCAGATCGATGGTTGGGTACAGTAACACGGACACTCATTGAGTTTTTTTTAACTTAAATATTACTTCTAATTATTAACCCTAATGATGCCTATACTAATTACAATTCAACCTAAGCGGTAGGAGTTGAGGAATTTTACAATGCTATATAGTATTGGTGCTATAAGTTTTTTCTTTATGGTACAACTTGAAATTGTACCTTTAACGTTATGGTACAACTTTAGATTGTACCTATACTTTTTGTACAAATTCTTTTATGGTACAACTTAAACTTGTACCTTATGTGATGGTACAACTTCAAGTTGGAAAGTTGTACCATAACATAATGATTCAAATTCTTTTATGGTACAACCTAAGCTTATACATTTAATGTAATGGTACAACTTTAAGTTGTACATTAAAGCACCATTACTATATAGTATAGTAGAAATGCTCGTAGGAGTTACCTACAAGTTCCAGGTAGAGGAAGATAGTGAGACCCATTGCGACGAGAGGAAAGTGATGCTGCCAGCTAAGATTTGGGGAGGGATCGTCAAAATGGTGTGCTCGTCGATAGAAAGGCCCGTGACACAACCGATGGAAGCAGAAGGATTCAATCGAACAACGCTGGGCAATTTACTACGTTGATAGTAGATAAGTGGGGATGCCAATGGTGATCGAAATTGGTCATTGAAGACTGGGTGGCTACCACAATGACCGAGCAGAAAGGCCGTGCAAGCTCGGCGGTCAGGGTAGCTACGAGGCTGAGAGTGGTATAACGAGAGGCGGAACAAATCCTTGCGGACAGACGACAACGCTGGAGTCACTACAACAAAACTCATATATAGCGGCTAAGAAAATTTGTCTCTATAAGTCTATTATTTGCCTCTGTATATATTTAGAAGCAGATAATACATTTGCCTCAAATACTCCAGTGGCTATAGCCCTATAGAAGCAAATATAGCGGCATATATTATCTGTTGCTGATTAAGGATTTTGTAACTAATATATTAGCCGCTAATGTCATTTTTAGTTTGCCTTTACATCCAATGTTAGAGGCTTAAGTATTTGCCTCTAAAATGATCTTTAGTGGCTATTAAACTTGACTCTACTAGCAACTATAGAGGCATATATTTTTGTTTCTAAAATTAGTTAATGAGGCTATTAAATTTGCCTCTAATATTAATTATAGAGGCAGATAGTTTTGCTTGTGAAATAAATTTATAGAGCATAATAGATGTGTTTTTATATTAATTTATTGAATTAATTTATTGTACAAGAAATTGATTAAGAAAGACAAATATATTGTACAATATTCCATTGATATGATATTTGAACAACAGAGTGTTGAAGTGTACAACATAAGATCGAAGAGAAGGGAAATGAGAGTCCATAAGTGGAAAAAATAGAGGTTGCTTAGCATTGGGGCATACATCGTCATCTCCTAAACAAAAATACGATGATTCAAGAGTTATGAGTTGTACGATGATTCAAGAGTTATGAGTTGTACGTAGCAGCAAACGAGAATTCAACTTTCAAAGTATTGCAACTTGTGCATCCAAGACTTGATTGTTAGAAAGATCATAAATTTCAACTATGCCGACTCCTCTTCGTACCTGCAGACAAGCAAGATCATAAATGACTACATTGAACTAATACGTTGGTGAAACTATGATCATTATAAATGACTATATTTGACTAACTGCGCATCCAGTAGAGCTACCTCTTGCCGGCGAGTGCCATCTATGGTGTTGAAAATTCTGATAAAGTTGCCCTTAGTGCTAGGCTGCTAGCAATATGATTATCATGAGCATTAACCAACTTCACCACTAACCAGATTCAATCTAACAGCTTGCTTCCATCAGCATATGCTCTCCCATCCTACTCATATCTCGATCAGAATTCTCATTCTCTCTTTCCCAATGGCTCTTAGAGTCTATAATCATTGTGCAAGCCAATAACAATAACTAGCTTTCCTGCTAGCCTGTAACAGAAGCAAAAAGATCAAATTAATACTAACAAGAAGCAGATCGCGTATAGCCATGGACGGGCCTAATCGAGCGAGCCAGGAAGAAATAACAAGTAGGACAATTGTAGAAGGAGAAGTGTCGTTGTGGAGTAACAGACGTGGCAGGGGGAAAGAGGGAAATGGAGTTAATGAACGTGTGGACTTTGTGGCCATTGCCAACAACACACCACCACTACACTGTCTCTTCTTCTTCCATTTGACCTCTTAAGCAAAACTCCCTCTCTGCCCCCATCCCCACCTTACTCTGGTTGCATTTAATCTCTACAGTGGCCTTTTAGCCCTTTCTCACTGTAACCAGCAACCAATTCCACAACCCACAGCACAACCACAACCATAGGCTGCTATTTCTTCCCAATTCATATTTTAACTGATCTCATTTATATAACAAAAAGCTTTCCTTTTACCTGCTTGTGACGATTCACAATATCTGGATCAACAGACCACTCCAAAAGCATCGACAAAATCTGTAACATCGGAAACCCAGGAAAATTGAAAACCTCAAAATCGTTACCCAATAAGAAAGACAAAACAAAGTAGCGCAACCCACCACTTGACCCAACAGTTGAGAGGGTAAAACAGAGTTAAGTACCAGGATCCGGCGAGTGGCGAGGGAGGAGGCAGAGAAGGAGGGCATGCAAGTGGAGGACCTGAGTGATGCAACAGCGACGAAAGCATATCTATTTTTATTGACGGCAGAGGAGGAAGAAGATCCCGGCGGCGATTCGATTAGATCTCTCTAGCAAGCTATCCTCTTAACCGATGAAGCAAATCAAAACCACCATGCAAATCTTGCCAAAGCATCTGCAGGAGGAAGAGGAAGTATCGCGGCTAAGACCATCATCACCTTTGTCGTGGTGGCAGGTCTAGCCGCTGATAAAAGTGTCGCGGTGGTCGCAGGATTGGAGGGCGGAGAGATTGGGATTGAGAGAATAATTGAGAGAGATTTCACAGTGGGTGTGTTAGTTTACAGGGATGATTGGAGAAATCATCGGCTGCGCAGCGGTTTAGAAAGGAAGGGGAAATTGATAACCAGATCTAGACTATTCTTTTCTTCATTTGGTGGAGGAGTTCAAAGGACTCTTAATCAAAAACGAAAATTGAAAATCCCGCCTCCCCTCCCCAAAATGAAAATTGAGCACTTAAAATCCCGCGTTCCCAACCCACGTTTGCCTTTAAAACTAAAAAAATATCATGTGCCTCTATAAGTATAAATTTATTTGAATTAATTTTATATAGTAAAATTGATGATACAATTAGAGGCAAAATTTAATAGTTATAGAGGCAAATTTTGTATTTGTGGTATATAAGCAATATCTAGAGGCTAATAATATTATTAATAGAGGCAAATTCAATATGTGTTGTGTAAAAGGAATTTTTAGAGGCAATTGGAACATCTGCCTCAATTATTAGCCACTATAGAACAGTTTTGTTGTAGTGAGTATATATGGTGTCGTCTTGAGGGAGGTACGACCAACTCACGCTCTTCCTCTAATTATTGCGAGGACAGGATATCGACACACATCTGTATGTTTACGTATAGATTGCTATAAGCTTAGGGAAAGGGGGGCATTGATTTCTTGAACACAAACATTTGAGGATGGGAACATGCTACGTGGATAATGCAAGGATTGGGCATGATTTGGGTGGCATGGAAATTTTGAGGAAGCTAAGTGGCTAACCTAGAAAATGGACACGTAGAGGAATATGGCTCATGAAAGAAATGGGGGAGATGCATTGCATTAGTAAATAATTAATCTAAAAGGTTATTGCAGCCATTATTCATTCTAATGGCAAACTGAAGCGCTTTATTCATGGGGTGTTTGAAGGTTAATACTATTTGCTAAGCATTCTGGCAAGAGGCACGAATCAGTTCAAGGGAGGAAGATGGTGAATTCAAGTCAGTAGACTTTGAATGTTGAGGTGAGTGTAAAGGGGTAAAATCTCTATCGTAGGTCTTTTAGTTTATGCTTTTTTTCAAGTTATTATTTAGTTAATTTTTCTAGTATGCGCGATATGTGTGTGAGGCATCCCACCGCCTGTAAGGGTGGAGGCACGCGTTGTGCTATGTATGGACGTATGTGATGTTGTATGGATTGATGGTATGAGGAACCCCCGGGCGGTTGGGTCACTACTGGACGACGAGACGTAACGCAGTAGTTGACGGGCATGGACTGGACGGCGAGACGTAACGCAGTGCCATTGCTGAGTTTGGGTATGCAACCGGACTGCGAGACGTAACGCGGTTGGCATACTAGGGTAGGACACCGGGCGGCGAGACGTAACGCGATGGTCCTAGTGTTTTGTGTTTGAGTTAAGGATAGAAGTCGAGAACTTCTATGAGTTAATGGTGAAATGAGTTGTTAAGGATGAAAGCGAGAACGGATTTTTTCTAATTCATGAACCCTAATAACGTGTTTAGTAGGGAGTCCGCCTAGGCAACGACCTTAGGAAGTATCGACGAGACTAACCCCTTCTCACTCACCAGGTCGAGGAAAGGTTAGCAGAAGTGGATCACGAGGTGAAGCAGGGCGAGGCGAGCAGCAGTATCATCGTTGACGGGGTATCAGGAAGCTCGTGTGGAGTCAAGTTAGAATAGTTAAATTTTATTGTTTCATGGTTATTAGTATAAACTGGAGATTCTGTGTTAAGTTGTTTTAAGTGTTTGAGATTGAGATTTAACACAGGTGTTGAGGCTTTTTGTTTAAAATTCTTAATTAATGTCAGTTTGTTTATTTTAAAATGTGGTTTGGGTTGCTCCGGATTAACCGGTTTTTGGTTTGAGTTATAGTTTGGTTTTCGAAAAAGGTCGGGTGGTTACAGTGATCATCATAGGGCCATCGACCACCCCCATGGTGTGGTCATGGAGTAGCGAGCATAACCCCCTGGGATGACAAGGAGGGTAGTATGGTGGAGTGGATGGTTGAATTTGGCCAAGGCAAGGGGCCCCATGGTGTCATTACGGGTATGATAACCATACCTCTTAGTGTGGTAAGTTGGGGTAGAAATTTGGCTAAGTATGAAAGATCGTGAGGATGGCAAGAAGCCACCCCTATGGTATGGTCCGGGGGTCATCAACATACATCCCCATGGTAGATACCATCCCCATGAAGTGGTCAAGGGGTCATGGCACACACCCCCCATGATTAATATCCACCCCATGGTATGGTTTGGAGGTCATCAACATACACCCCCATGGTAGATACCACCCCCACGAGGTGGTCAAGGGGGTCATGGAACACGCCCCCATGATCAATATCCGCCCCCCTATGGTATGGTATGGGGGTCACCAACATGCGCCCCCATGGTATGGCCAAGAGGCGGTTTCCCTACTCTCGTAATGGCGAAGTATTTTTGTAGATAAACAAAGCTACAGAGGAAATACCAAGAGCAAAGAGTGAGGTCTCAAGAAAAGGGGGTTAAGACTGAAGAGGGTAACACATCCAATGTTAGGGTAACCGTCATAGCAGTTGAAAGGGTAACTGTCACTCCGTGTCAACGGAGTAGTTTCTCGAGCCAGTTACTTCTGGTGGCTATAAATAGGAGGTGAAGATGATAGAGAAGAGGTTCTTCAAAATTACACCAGCCAACCCATTGTCAAATTTTATCCTTTTATATTTTTCCTCTGCAAATGTAGTCATAGCCATAGTTGTAGTTGGGGAGCTCTCACTGAACCTCCATAGGAGTAGATTAATGTAATTTAGCTTTGGCTCGTAGATCATCCAGAACATCGAACACCCTTGTTTGAACTTTGTTCAAAGAGGTGTGGACTGTGTTAATTAATCGCTTGTAAGAAGTTAAAGATGCAAATCCAATTCTGTTCCATCTAGTTTTTCTCGCCGGGGAAAACAAATTAGCACACCTGGTGGGACTCGTGTGTTTAATTTGATGGCTCCGAGGCGGAGGAATCAAGAAGGTAAAGCTCCGGCTGGTTTTGTGGAGTAGCAAGTGGCCAACATTGAACATGGCCAAGTGTCAGAGGTGATGGCCGAATATAATGGCGGGGCAGAGATCCTACCAATGGCGAGGCCTAGTGGAGACATTGGTGAAGCAGTGTGGGTCCTTCGTCAAATGATGGAGGAGAATCGCAAGCTGGTGGTAGAGAACCGTCAAGCCATAGAGGAGAACTGCCAGATGATGGTGGAGAACCATCGCATGATGGATGAGGCTAGAGCTGCTTCTCATAAGGTAAACTCTCAAATGGATTGTCTTAATTCTAGAGTTGATAGACGTCTAAGTCAATTATTTGAAGTGGTTAATTGATGGCGTCGTATTTGCACATGTTTTCACTCTTGTTCCCTGACCATTTTAGCTCGAATTGTTGTGTTGTTTTGTCGTATTTCAGGTCCTAGCAAGTAAAGAGGTGCATAGGCGCAAGTTTCGGGTCATTGGGGGGGTCATGTGGCGATTCAAAGAGCAAATTACGGTCAGCCCCTGCCAAATTACGGGCGTAATTGATCCAGGCATGCCCGTAAACGCAATTTCGAGCCTAATTCCCCAGAATTCCTCTCGGCAATGGAATTACGGGCAAGAGTCACATGAATTACGACCTTAATTCAGTAATTACTGGCAATAATCTGCCAATTACGGTCGTAATTCCCCCATCAGAGTAAATGGAATGCGCGTTTTGGGCGTTTTACGGGCAGACCATGATTACGACCGTAATTCTGCCCGTATTTCGCCCAGAATCTGGTTTTTGAGGCAGATTCGAGCCAAAGGAGAGGGAATCGACTTTTTGGAGCAAAAAGCAGAGTTTTAGAGAGAGAAAGTGCGAAGAACAAACCCTAGGAGCTATTTGAAGTGGATTTCTCACCATTGAAGCCCAGATTGCATCCGCAGGAGTGAATATTGACATCCCAGAGCAGATTCTTCCCATTGTCATGAGTATGACTACTTTGTATTCTGTTTTCCCTTCTCTCTCTATGGAGTAGAACTCTCTCTCACTTGGGTATGAAGAACCCTAGTTCCATGTGTTAGGGATCTTGATTGTAATGACTTGGGATTGTTATACTGTTTGATTTTAATCGAATGATGCATGATTCATTGAATTAATTGAAGTCTGATCAGCTTTTCTTGATTTCTGCTGCAACCTGTGATAGATAGAATCTGATTAGGTTGTTAGAACTTCATCATTCGGTAGTAGTGGATTGGTTATACGAGAGTTAGTCAATCTGTTGCTTTGTACTGGAATCCAATTCCAGTAGTGGAGTTCTGTGTTCATAGCCTCAGCTTTCTATTCCGGTGAAGACTAGTCGTCTGCCGGGTAGTTGGACTGAGAGGGCTTGGTCAACTTAAGAGATTCCAAGCTACTGTCGGATCTTCCGCAATTTAATCAAAAATAAATCAACCTAGGGTAATTACAACGGAGACCTAACTAAGGAGCTAGGGGGACTCATTCTCGAGTGACTCTTCCTTGACTTCAGAAAACCGAACCATTTCCTGTTTTCTTACTGCTTTTACTTTAATCAACAATCACTTGACTTAGTTGGCTAGACATTCACAGAGTAGGCAGTAGATCTAGACCCCGGGTTGATAATAGAACTTGCCACTTTACTGCATTCCCGGACTGCGATTATACTTGGTCGCAGTTTGGTGTTGTGTTTTAGCGTGTCAAGTTTTTGGCGCCGTTGCCGGGGACCCTCTAGGTTATTGGGGAAACGTGAAAGTTTGTTACTTTAGCTTTTTTTTTTTAATGCATTCTTCTCTCTTCCACCTGTGTGCCTTCACGGGTTGCTTTTGCTAGTTGTGTGCAGGTAGTGCATGATCCGTAGCCAGTCGGGAGAACTACTACCATTAGACCAGGAGCTTGAACGGACCTGTAGGAACTTCAAGCGGGCTCTAAAGGCGCGACTGGCGGAGGAGGAGGCGCTAGCACAGCTCCAAATCGCCAACGAAGAAGAGATGGCTGACCCACAGGACCATGATGTGGTCATTCCTGAGGAGCAGACCATGGGATACTACTGGACCGCCAGAGCCGCGGACATGAGGTCACCCATTCAACACCCTCATGTGCCAGCGAACAACTTTGAGGTGAGCACCTCGGTCATCACGATGTTGCGCGGTTCGGTGGTATTTCGTGGCAAGGAGGGGGAGTGCCCCCGATCACATCTGAGGCGATTCCATGAGTTGATCGATGGAATCAAGATAAATGGGGTCCCAGCCGAT